AATAAAATTTAATTTGAAAAGGTGGAGAGAAGGGGGGGGGGGGGGGATCGGGGGGTGAGGCGCTATCATATCACGACACCATTCAGTCAATGAAAATGTGAAAGAGCAAAGCCCCTCACTCTGCAACATTTCTCATGCATCTGGGAAAAGCTGGTGAATGGCGAGGGGGTGGGGAGGGGGTTAGGAGGGGGCACCGGGGCAAAAGCAGCCTACACATGAAAGATTGTTTTCGGGAAAGAATCTGCACTCCCAGTGGATGCGAGACGTTAAGAAGTCAACACTCTTTGGGGTGTTGGTAGAGCCTTGTTCAGAACTAAACACTGCCATCTAGAGTTGAACATCGACTCATACACAGGCTTTCTTTGATTCCAATTATGTTACCTGTATATTCAACCCGGAACGCTGATTCACCGGGGAAATCAATACAAACACGAGGAAAAGGCTCACAATCCTTATCATGAAATAAGTCCCTGCGGTTTGTCAGTCTCCTATTCCTAAAAGCTCTTTCCTGTGTACCAAATTAAACCGGCTATGTGGCAATGCAAGCATGCGACCTGACCGCAAAAACAAGTCAGTCAAATTTTGCTTGTCTAACAATGCTATTTCCAAAGCGCAGCAGTTTTTTTTTTGTTTTTGGTCGAATGTGTAACATTGCTGTTTAGAGGAATGTAAGGACACTAGAAAACGTTTGGTATAACCTAACTGAGGTGATTGATTCATACCCCCCCCAAAAAAAGAAAAATCTGATGAAATTAATTTACATTAAACCTTTCATATACATTCAACCTGTTAAACAAACCATATGTACGTCAAATATTGGACACATTGCCTCCCATATGTAAAATCGAACGTGGTACACATATTCATGCATACAATCCCAGAGGGCTTCAGTATGTATGAATCGACCAGCCGTAGGTTATTGTGATGTGTGTGTACGTGTGTGAGTTCCTGGGTACACATACTGAGGTGGTACTGCAGGAGGTAGCCAGTCAGGATGCCGTTTGCAACCAGCGGCGGAGCCCATACAAGCCGGATGGACTCTTTCTGGGCATTGGAGGTGGTCAGAATGGGCACTTGTTCCGGAACTGAAAAATAATTAGAAATTGCACTCGTATCTCTCCAAACAACTAGTTCCCATTTTTGTCTGCCATTTTTGCACGGGTGTGAAGGCTGTGAGTGCTGAAGGAACAACCGGGTGTTCGTAACTCAGTACAGCATCTAGTCGGCGTGTTCATCTCACCTCCCTCTGGAGTGTTGAAGGTGACTGGGTCACTACTCGGCCCGTTTCCCTTCTTGTTGAAGACGTTGACAGTGAGCGTATACTCTGAGAAGGCGTCCAGGTTGGGCACAATGGCATGCGTCCTCTTCCCGGGAAATGACAGCGTGTGGCGCTCATCCAAGATCTTGTCTGGATTCAGGAAACTTCGCTTCCGCAGCCAGTGAACCTGGAAGAAGCAGGCAATGGGGAAATGCTGACCAAGAGAAGGGTTCAAAAAATTGGCCATCCAACGAGATTTAACCACGGACCTGTTTTGTTTCCAATTTTCTCGTCATTGAAAATGAAAAGTCCATTCGCAGCTGTACCTTTCAGATATAAAAACTGTCAAAAATGCTGGGGGATTCATGAGTACTGTCAATGCAGAACGACTTGAGGTCAAATTCAAGCTTAAGGAATTATTTGAGTGAAATGGTCCCTGTAAATCAAACAATAATCAATACAGTATATTAAGTGTTACCTGGAAAAAAAACGGTCCCATGAAGTGAACACAATATAGAATGTTTATTGTGTTATATGTATCGAATGTGGTGAATCTGAAAATAGTTTTCATGGGACTTAAATGTTTGTAAGTTCATTAAAATAACGAGCCTTGGGCAGACGTGACTGTAATGCACTTTACTTTGGAGTCAGCCAATCCTCCATTAAGCGTCACCAGTTGGTCCAAAATGCTGCTGCTCGCCTCTTGACTGTTACTTGTAAGAGGGAGCACAAAACTCCTACTTTGGCATCCCTTCACTGGCTCCCGATACATTAGAGTTCTTTTTAAGATCCTATTATTTGTTTTCAAATCTTGAAATGGCCTCGCCCCACCTTACCTTTTTGAAGCTCCTCCGCCCCTACGCACCCCAGGTCTGCGGACGAGACACTATTAGCGGTACCAAGAATGAAGTGGAGGGTCAAAGGGGATCGGGCCTTTTCCGTTGCTGGTCTCTCTTTTTGGAATGACCTCCCACTGAATGTTCGGCAAGCCCCCTCGCTGTCCATCTTTGATACTCAACTTAAAACTCTTAAAAAAAAACAAAAAAACTAAAACTAAACTAAAAGCCAAAAAAAAGCTTTTAACTCAGCATGAGATTTTAATTTTACTTTGACTGTTTTTGTTTACCAAGTCAGTACAAGGTGGATACGACATACTATTTTATTATTAATATCAATGTCATCATATTGTCATGAGCTTGCATCCTTCACAACTCTCAAGGTACTATTGAGCAAGGCACCAGAACCCACCAGAAACTTAACTGAGCGTTTACCCAAATCACTCTGATGTCTCTCCGTGCATATGCGTCGTCTGCTTCACTTTTTTATTTATTTCTTTTTAAACGTGAATAATGTTTTTTCCTTGTCCCTGACAGGAAGCGTTGAGTTTAATTACACTGCAACATTTGGTAAAGTGTGACAAGAAAAACGACCAATGAAACACCTTGTTGTTGTTGTTATTTATTGCCCAGACAGGCTGCCATCTGGTGAGGTGTGAAAGCACTGACTTTCCTCAAAATTGGCACATCAAAGGCGGAACAGCATAATAGACGTTTATTCGCCTGTGCCTTTTTGACGGAACTCAATACGCCGGGATATTGCCGTGTCTGTGTGTGAGAATTCAAACAGCCGATGCGGCTTCCCGCATGAGCGGTGATCTCTGCGCCAGCGCCTTGTGTGACAAAGCATTTGATTTTACTGGTCAATATATATATATTTTTTTAAACAGAGATGCAAGTAAAACGTTCTCGTTTTTTTTTTTTTGTATTCGATATGTGTTGGACAGCAACGATTGGGCGTGGGAATCGATTCTCCGGAGTCAAACTTCACACCCTTATCCCGTGACACACAGCTGTCATTCAGCCGCTTTTATACCTCTAGGACTAACTCGACAGCGGGCCGGAAAGGTCAACTTCAGTATTGGTACCTTACATAACCTCCTTCATATCTCTCTGACCTTCTCCAAATCAACAATGCCGCTCGCACTCGAAAGTCCGCCTAACCTACCTCCAGCATGTCTGTTCACCAAAATCACGACTTTGCACGAGACCCCAAAAACTGCACGTTTGTTTAACGTTGCATCGTCAAAGAGAGTAAGCCATTTTCAACACTTTAGATCGGTGAATTATTTGCTAAAGTAACACCCAAACTAATGTAGACTGACTAATAGTAGACTTTTGTGGAATAATGTCATGAAATAGTGACAAGTCTTTGATCCTTGTTTCAATTCTTAATTTTATATACACTAGTTAGCAAGACCAAGAGGAAAAAGAAGTAAAAAAAAAAAAAAAATGTTTACATGAAAGGGATGTCCGAAACGCAGACTCCAAAAAGCGACAAAAATGGACACACGTGTTTTTCGCAGGACGGAGACGACGTATGTACAGCTGGTCATGGAGAGACAGAACTGATCACGGATCCCTTATTGTGTCATGCTATCAAATCAGCAGAAAAATGATGCTTGCCATAAAATCTGAATGGAAAACAGATTAAGCATTTGATTTTACTGGTCAATATTTTTTTTTTTAAACAGAGATGCAAGTAAAGCGTTCTCGTTTTTTTTTTGCGCTGATTCCGAATCTCCCCTTGTTTTTCTGTAGCACATCAGGTTTTTTAATAACAATACTACCACTACTACTACTTCTACTACTACTACTACTAATCATAATAATAATACAAAAGGTAATGTAGTAATATATTTTGAAAGATTTATGAAGGGTTAGGTTCAGTAAAAGGTAGAATTTCTTTTTTTCTGAAATGTCGCAGCACAAGCTTTTGAAGGTCAAACTTCAAAACAACACAAAAATATCGCAAAAACCAAATGTGCTTGGAACATTTTTTTTCAATCAGCGGCAAAAATATTTTGAAGAAGACATAAGCCAACTCTGTTTATTTTATCGCTGTTGACCGGTGTTATTTGCACACAAATCATTTTCGAGTGGTGCTTGATGAAAACTTACATGGTACCCCTTAAGGTGACCTCTCAGTGTGGCCGGTGGAACTGGGGTCCAGCTTACTCTCAGAACAGTTGTGTTCATCACCTCCACTGCGACATCCCGCGGTGCGGCGGTGGGAACTAAAGGACACATGGAGGGAGGTCACGCAACTCTCCAGAGACTCACAAAGTCTCGGTACACTACAGTCAAGCACAGGAAAATTACTGCACAGAAATGTTGGTGCAACTGTTTTTGGTCGAGCTGCTAACGGTGGTACAATATGAGCAGGCATTTATATTTGAAAGCATAATGGCCCGAATCATCTTTTAAGTGGAGGGGAGGCAGGGGGAGGGACACCAAAAAAAGAGCTCTACATTTTTTCTGCTCTACGTGGTTGCTGGACAGGATGGAAGCAAAGCAGAAACTAGAAGCAGCAGCATCACGTCTCGGTTAGTCTATACGTTGCGGAGCGCCTCGTGATCTAATAAAGGTCGCACAGATTTTGAGACAGAGGCGGTACATTTCAGATCTCACAGCTCCACAAAAGGTTATTTGCCACCTGCTGCATTTGAGGGTGGGAAAAGTCACTACAGCACAGCTGCACAAGCAAACAGAAAAAAAACCAAAAAAAAAAACAACTTAACCTGACAAATTTTCCCGTAGACAATGGCGAAAGATGACTGAAGACGGGCGTGGGACGATAATAATAAAAACAAATAAATTAATTAAAAAATGAATTAAGGAAATAATGCACAATGGGAGCTAGTTGAATCACCATATAAGCTGAAGTTCCCCTGTCAATAGTGTATGAATGCAGACGGATGATGTCAGCAAGGTGAAATGCCAAAGAAAAAAAAATGGCTGTTTCCGAGTTCATTCTGGGTAAGACCATTTGAGAACATTTTCTGCAGGCGGCATGGCACACGAGTGATGAGCAAATCAGCCTGCCAGTTTGAGAGATTGGCAGTTCGAGCCCGGGCGCCAGACTTCTCGTGTCGAATTTGTATGTTCTCCCCATTCTTTTTTTCAGGTACTCTGGTTTCCACTCACATTCCCAAAAACGTGGCCTAAATTGCTCTTCGGTGTGAATGTAAGTGTGAAGGGTTGTTTGTCTACATGCAACTTGGACTGGCTGGTGACCAGTCCAGACTGTTCCTCGCCTATTCATCTACATCGCCCAAAGTCGACACTACCTCACCCATTGTCCTCGATATGCCTCGATTGTGAGGATTAAGCGGTTCAGATAATGGATGGATGGATAAACAAATTTATTGCTAGTAATTTCACCTATTTTTCTGACACCCTCCCTGCTCCTTCTGCCCACCTTCCCCTTTGATAACTAACCTTTCAGCTCATGTCAAATGTCATTTTTAGTTTTTTGTTTTTTGATCATGCCGCGGGCCGCTGAAAATGGATTGCAGGCCGCAAATGGCCCCAGGGCTGTAGTTTAGAAACCTCTGGTTTAAGGGGTCAAGCAAACAGAAAAAAAACCAAAAAAAAAAAGAACTTAACCTGACAAATTTTCCCGTAGACAATGGCGAAAGATGACTGAAGACGGGGTGTGGTGCGATAATAAAAAAAGTAAATAAATTAACAAAATGAATTAAGGAAATAATACACAATGGGAGCTAGGTGAGTCACCATATAAGCTGAAGTTCCCCTGGCAATAGTGTATGAATGCAGACGGATGATGTCAGCAAGGTGAAATGCCAAAGAAAAAAAAATGGCTGTTTCCTAGTTCATTCTGGGTAAGACAATTTGAGAACATTTTATGCAGGCGGCATGGCACACGAGTGCTGAGCAAATCGGCCTGCCAGTTTGAGAGATTGGCAGTTCGAGCCCGGGCGCCAGACTTCTTGTGTCGAATTTGTATGTTCTCCCCATTCTTTTTTTCAGGTACTCTGGTTTCCACTCACATTCCCAAAAACGTGGCCTAAATTGCTCTTCGGTGTGAATGTAAGTGTGAAGGGTTGTTTGTCTACATGCAACTTGGACTGGCTGGTGACCAGTCCAGACTGTTCCTCGCCTATTCATCTACATCGCCCAAAGTCGACACTACCTCACCCATTGTCCTCGATATGCCTCGATTGTGAGGATTAAGCGGTTCAGATAATGGATGGATGGATAAACAAATTTATTGCTAGTAATTTCACCTATTTTTCTGACACCCTCCCTGCTCCTTCTGCCCACCTTCCCCTTTGATAACTAACCTTTCAGCTCATGTCAAATGTCATTTTTAGTTTTTTGTTTTTTGATCATGCCACGGGCCGCTGAAAATGGATTGCAGGCCGCAAATGGCCCCAGGGCCGTAGTTTAGAAACCTCTGGTTTAAGGGGTCAAAAATGAGTATGTGTGTCCAACACTTCATTTCCTGTTGTTCAGGCTTGTTGAATTAAATCGGCAGCTCCTCTCCCGGTTACAGCTATGTAATGCACGCCTTTAAAAAAAAAAACGAAAACAAAAAAACCCCAATCATGCTGTGTTTTATCTCCTAGGGAAATGTTGTATGATGCAGCAGAGTATGAGCATGAAAGCCTGTCTCCCAGCAGCATTTCTACAATAAATAAATGCTCTGCAATATTTGTAGCGACTGGTGCAATATTCACTCACCATCTTCTCCAGAATAACCCGTAGCGATTTTAGGCTCCGGTCCCCAGCCGTGGCTGTTCCTGCTCTGAATTTTTATTTCATACGGGATGAATGTTGACGTGTTTCTCACAACAAAGGAGTGTCTTTTGATCAGGTGTTCTGTCCAGGTATCGTCCACAGCGAGTTTCCTGTAGCTGACTTTGTACTCCAGGCCTGGGCCATTGTGTTCAACAGGCAACAGTGGCTACACAACGAGGACATTTCTTAGCGTTGGGTGACGATCCGAGTACAGTGGTACCTCTACTTCTGATATTAATTGGTTCTGGAAGAAATTTCTGAACTAGATGCGTTTTCCATGTAAATGCCCTAATTTGCTCCAAGCCCCCCCAAAATTCAGACATAAATGTTTCCTCAAGCATTAAAATGCATCAAAATATGGAACAAATACATGTTACAATTAAATTATTGCACAATAAATGAGAGTTTCATGCATCATGTAAAAAAGCAATGAATAGAGTAAAGAATAAAAGTGATGGCCATTGAACTTTTAACTGCGTCCTCATCGTTTTTTGTCCTCTTTAGTCCATGTTCTCTCTCAGAAGTGGTTTTCGTCTGGCGTTTTGTAAAGATCTGATCCAAGGACGTTCGCTTTTGTCTGCTTTTCCCAATCCTTCGAAATCCAAGGTCGTTCGCTTTTGTCTGCTTTTCCCAATCCTTCGAAATTGTCCAAGGCAAACATCAGCATAGTGAGCGATCGCCTGACTGGTGAAGACTTTTTCTGGGTGATTTACATACACGTAAAATTATCGGAATACGATGAGGACGCTGCATAAACATTCTATATACACATACAGACACATACGGTAGAGGTCCCTCTTAGCCAATGGTATGCCAGGAAGATGCTCGGTAAGAGCCAATGGCAAAGCAGCTATAAGTATGTTGTGTTCAGGAAACTCGGAGCTGTGACAAGCAGGCCATACTGTATTTTTGGCTTCCGTATCTTGGAATTGCTTTCGTCATAAGAGGCAATAATGTCTTGTTGAGACATTTCGTAAGTTGAAAATTTCGTATGAAAAGACGTTCGTAAGTAGAGGTACCACTGTCCATGGAAATGTCACTTTGTAAAATCTTACCTCCCAGCTGATGTCCATTTGATGAGGTAGGCGGCCTTCTATTTTAATGTTTTCTGGGTTCCTATCAGGAGCTTTGAAGGGGGGAGGGGAAAAAAAGATGATTCCTGGACACTGAATTATGCGCACACAGTACTGTCATCGTTAAGCCGCAACAAAATAGTGTGGAGCAAACTTCTTTTGTAAGTTCAAAGGTATACTGTAACTGACGCTTTTGTCTGCTTTTCCCAATCCTTCGAAATTGTCCAAGGCAAACATCAGCATAGTGAGCGATCGCCTGACTGGTGAAGACTTTTTCTGGGTGATTCACATATACGTAAAATTATCGGAATACGATGAGGACGCTGCATAAACATTCTATATACACATATAGACACATACGGTAGAGGCCCTTCTTAACCAAATGGGATGCCAGGATAATGCTTGGTAATAGCCAATGGCAAAGCAGCTATAAGTATGTTGTGTTCAGGAAACTCGGAGCTGTGACTAGCAGGCCATACTGTATTTTTCCCTTTCGTATCTTGAAATTGCTTTTGTAATAAGAGGCAATGATTTCTTGTTGAAACGTTTCGTAACTTGAAAATTTCGTAACAAGAGAGACGTTCGTAAGTCAAGGTACCACTGTCCATGGAAATGTCGTTTTGTAAAATCTTACCTCCCAGCTGATGCCCATTTGATGAGGTAGGCGGCCTTCTATTTTAATGTTTTCTGGGTTCCTATCAGGAGCTTTGAAGGAGGGAGGGGGAAAAAAGATGATTCTTGGACACTGAATGATGCACACACAGTACTGTCATCGCTAAGCCGCAACAAAATACTGTGGAGCAAACTTCTTTTGTAAGTTCAAAGGTATACTGTAACTGATGGCAGAATTACACTGTGTGATTCTGGCTGGCCCCCCACACAATTTAAAAAGAAGTGTGAAAACTTAATCAGAGCAGAAAGCACAGACTCAAGCGAGAGAGTGAGCGAGTGAGTGAGTCTCACCAGCTGGGGGGGTTTTGTAGCGCTCAGTGGGCTCACTGGGGGGCCCAGGTCCAACAGCATTCACTGCGTACACTCTGAACTGGTAGTTAAGATGTCCGTGGAGTGCCAGCTCGGCTGTTGCCTGGTTACCGGGGACTTTGTGGAGCTCTTTCCACTTGCCCGGTTCCCATTGGCTCTCCTCATACTCCACAATGAATTCTGTATTCATACAAGAGATCAGGTCGCTGCACATTTAATCATCGTCACACACATACGTGAACATTCCTTTGAACTTTTGAAATCATACGTGGACATTCTCTTTCTGATGTATTATCTTCATGAAGGTTCACTATGTGGTTTAAAATGAAGACATTGCTGATTTAATTTCATTAATTTGAACTCATTTAATGTGATGATTAGATGAAGATGATTCTTAACTAAATTTGCCAGGAAAGAAAATGCATTTGGGACATTTCTATGTGCAGGTTAAACGCTTTTAGTAAAACAAAATACTGGTTGAGCAGGCTCATTACAGCATATGAAATATTTCAAAATTTCGACTTCTTTCTTGATTATTGCGTAAGAGGTTGGGAACTTTAACATGACAAGAGCACAATAACTCTTAACTTTTTAAATGGCCATAATGTGTCCGTAAACATTAATGAAAAAAGTGAACCCGTAATTCATGTCAGTTTTAAAGCACAGACTCAAGCGAGAGAGTGAGCGAGTGAGTGAGTCTCACCAGCTGGGGGGGTTTTGTAGCGCTCAGTGGGCTCACTGGGGGGCCCAGGTCCAACAGCATTCACTGCGTACACTCTGAACTGGTAGTTAAGATGTCCGTGGAGTGCCAGCTCGGCTGTTGCCTGGTTACCGGGGACTTTGTGGAGCTCTTTCCACTTGCCCGGTTCCCATTGGCTCTCCTCATACTCCACAATGAATTCTGTATTCATACAAGAGATCAGGTCGCTGCACATTTAATCATCGTCACACACATACGTGAACATTCCTTTGAACTTTTGAAATCATACGTGGGCATTTATGATGTATTATCTTCATGAAGGCTCACTATTGTGGTTAAAAATGAAGACATTGCTGATTTAATTTCATTAATTTGAACTCATTTAATGTGATGATTAGATGAAGATGATTCTTAACTAAATTTGCCAGGAAAGAAAATGCATTTGGGACATTTCTATGTGCAGGTTAAACGCTTTTAGTAAAACAAAATACTGGTTGAGCAGGCTCATTACAGCATATGAAATATTTCAAAATTTCGACTTCTTTCTTGATTATTGCGTAAGAGGTTGGGAACTTTAACATGACAAGAGCACAATAACTCTTAACTTTTTAAATGGCCATAATGTGTCCGTAAACATTAATGAAAAAAGTGAACCCGTAATTCATGTCAGTTTTGTCTCACCGATTACGGAACTGTTGTGGTCACTGCCAGGCACCCAAGCCAAAAGGATATGTCTTTGATCCTTGAGTTCAGTTATCTCGACGTTTTGCGGGGCATCTGGAACATCTGCAACATAGAGAGAAACATTCAAGTCACATGAGCTTTTTCAATATAAGGTGTGCTCTTTCTCGCGGTACTCAATCGTACATATATGGTATTGCTATCCACTACTCACTCTGCTGACCAGGTTTGTGTGGTGAAACACACATCCTTACTGAAGCAAAAAAA